GATAGATGTCATACTCATGCATAACTTTTTATCACACAAACCTTTTTTATTTTTTCATTTCAATGCTCTAACTTCAAGGACAGGACTCAGAGCCTGTAGGACAGTTGTGAAGGCTCCAGCCACATACACCAAGGTGGCGGGTTTGAAACTGGCCTGGGACAGCTATATAACAATGGCAACTGCAATAAAAAATAGCCGGGTGTTGCGGTGGGCATCTGTAGTTCTAGCTACTTGGGAGGCTGATGCTGTAAACTGTGACGCCAAGGCACTCTACCAAGGGTGACATAGTGAGACTCTGTCTCAAAAAAAAAGGACAGATTGATGTCGATTTTTGTTTGTTTTATAGATCTATAAAAATATTGGGTTTACTATCAACAGAGCCTTAAATTTAGAACATAAACTCTGAATTCTTGATGATTTCATGACATTTCTAGTAGCATAGATTTTAACAGCATGTCTGCTAAACTTTGGAAATCATGATGTATCCCTCTGTCTTTTTCTTTTTTTTTTTTGAGACAGAGCCTCAAACTGTCACCCTGGGTAGAGTGCTGTGGCATCACAGCTCATAGCAACCTCCAACTCCTGGGTTTAAGCAATTCTCTTGCCTTGGAGTCGCAAGTAGCTGAGACTACAGGCACCTGCCACAAAGCCGGGCTATTTTTTGGTTGTAGTTGTCATTGTTGTTTGGCAGGCCCAGGCTGCATTTGAACCTGCCAGCTCTGGTGTATGTGGCTGGCACCTTAGCCACTTGAGTTATAGGTGCCCAGCTAGTATCCCGCTGTCTTAGTGCACATTTGGATTTTCCTTTAGTGAAATATTAAATTAGGCACGGTGGCTCATGACTGTAATCCTAGCACTCTGGGAGGCCGAGGCTGGTGGATTGCCTGAGCTCAGGAGTTCAATTCCAGCCTGAGCAAGAGCAAGATCCCATCTCTAAACAAATAGCCAGGCACTGTGGCAGGCTCCTGTAGTCCCAGCTACTTGGGAGGGTGAGGCAAGAGAATCTCTTGTGCCTAAGAGTTTGAGGTTGCTATGAGCTATGATGGATGCCACAGCACTCTACCGAGGGCAACAAAGTGAGACCCTGTCTCATAAAACAAACAACAAAAAAGAAATATTAAATTAAATGTGGACCTTAGATTAATTGGCTCACATAAAAGTAATGACTCATGGAGGAATGACACAAGTCCTGACCTTGAGAGTTTCAAGCTACCAGCTCAGAGCGTGGGGGTAATTGTAAAAAGGTAACTAGCACTGGTTGGTAAAGTCGTATTTTCCCTAACCTCCTCAGTTGTTCCTTGGGTCTTTAAGGATTACTAATATTAGCCCTATCAGAAGCCAGCCTAAAAAAGAATCTGCCAAATGCAATCACAGAGCTGGAGGTAGACAGTGAATAAAATAGTAAAGTCATTTCTGAAGCATTTAGCTCTGTTCGCTTCCAAACTTAACATATTCAAAAAGTCCCAAATTGCTCCCTTTTCTTACTCTTATTTCTCACTGCCTCTCAACCAATAGGAGGGCTCAGCAAAATGGAAGGCTTAGGCATCTTCACAAAAATAAAGCCAGGCCACAAGAAAGGGTTTCCAAGGGTGGCTGGACAACAAAACTGCTGAAGCCGCCTCTGAGAGGCCTGTTTTGGCAACGGATCTGTACTCTTGGCCATTTCCATGCACAGAGAGGCCCACTGGACTAGATAAACAATAGGGTCTCTTCTAAAAATCTAGGATTGTCATCTGGGTTTTGAACCTCCCCTGATTTTTAACTCCTGGGAAAGGAGCAAGAAATAAACATTTTATCTGTAAGTTTTTGGGAAACCAATTAAATTAACTCTGAAGACTGACACATAGTTGGAAGGAGAAGTGGTGTGTGCGTGGGGGCGGGGGCGCACGCGCACATGTGGAGGGGTGTTCTTAAACTCACGTAGCCTCCTTCCCTTTCTACTGAGAGCTGCTCCGTTTTGGTCCCTTAAGGAAGTAGCTCTCACTCTTGCCTCTCTCTTTCTCATTACCTCATTTCCTCTTGCTCTTTATTTCAACATCCATTCAAAAAATATCCACTGGGACCTTTAGACATTTATCTGTCAGAGACAGCATGACATAGCTGGAAGAACTTTGGCTTCAAGGTTGTAGAGATCTTTGATCCAACCCTTTACTTACAGACAGGGTAACCGTGCACAAGCGGCAATCTCTTTGAGTCAGAGCACAGAATAGGAAAAATCATCCTTTCTACTTTGCCTGAGAATGAATTTTGTAAATTATGAAAATATACATATATATTTATCAACTTGAAAGTGGGCATTAATAAACTAATCTTTATCATTTGCATTTGAATTTATAAAATGCCTTTTGCCTTTTTAGTTAAGAGCACAGGCTCATTAAGGTTGGGATGTGTTGGGGAAGCACTCTGGCAGGGAGACTCAAAGCAAACAAAGAACTTTAAGGTGCCCAGCCCAGGCTACATTTTAATATTTCTGGGTCAGGCATGGTGGTTACTTATGCCTATAATTCCATCCAGGAGTTTGAGATAAGCCTGTGCAATATAGGGAGACCTCATCTCTACAGAAAAGAAAAATAAATATCAGTTGAGCATGGTGGTTTGCTCCTACGGTCCTAGCTACTTGGGAGGCTGAGGCAAGAGAATCGCTTAAGCCCAAGAGTTTGAGGCTGCTGTGAGCTGTGATGCCAGAGCACTCTACTGAGGGCACCATAGTGAGACTCTGTCTCAAATTGAAAAAAAACCCAAGAAAACAAAAATTTCTAGATTATGTCCTAAATCAGGTGAATCAGAATCTCTGGAGACAAGGCCCTAGAATCTGCATTTTTAGCAAATGCTCAGGCCATTTATCATGTACACAAAAGCACACAGAGACCCACCAGATAGGACAGAGGACCATCCACAGTATCTTTTCTTACTTGAAAATTCTAATTCTCATGACCCAAATTTTAGTTAGTTCTATTTTTCTGTGATCAAAGAAAAATTAAAAGGGAAATTATATAACTACTTGTCTGGCACTATGTTTAGGGCCTTATGCACATTGTATTATTTTTCAGCACAATAATTCTTTTTTTTTTTTTTTTTTTTTTTGAGACAGAGCCTCAAGCTGTCCCCCTGGGCAGAGTGCTGTGGCATTACAGCTCACAGCAACCTCCAACTCCTGGGCTCAAGCGAGTCTCTTGCCTCCGCCTCCCAAGTAGCTGGGACCACAGGCGCCCGCCACAACGCCCGGCTATTTTTTGGTTGCAGCCGTCATTGTTTGGCGGGTCCGGGCTGGGGATTCAAACCCGCCACCTTAGGTGTACATGGCTGGCGCCTTAGCCGGTTGAGCTATAGGCGCCGAGCCCACAATAATTCTTCAAGGTAGGTTTTTTTTTGTTTTTTTTTGAGACAGAGTCTCAAGCTATCACCTGGGTAGAGTGATGTGGTGTCACTGCTCACAGCAACCTCAAACTCTTGGGCTTAAACGATCCCCTTGCCTCAGCCTCCCAAGTAGCTGGGAGTACAGGCACCTGCCACAACACCCGGCTATTTTTTGGTTATAGTTGTTATTGTTGTTTGGCAGGCCTGGGCCGGATTTGAACCCACCAGCTCTGGTGTATGTGGCTGGAGCTTTAGCCGCTTGAGCTACAGGCACTGAGCCAAGGTAAGTGTTGTTATTGCCATAGTATGCATAGATTTACAGTCATAGGGTGCATAGACTCTAATTTCAAAGTTGGTGGGTTTTCCACTATATACATGTATGAGCTTATTGGAATCACAGTACCATATCTGCAGGTAATAGATTTCTTTTATAAGGATTGTTTCTTCATCCTTGTTGACTCACTCAGTGCCTCTTATTGTGAACATTAATTACTTGATGTGGTGATGAAATTTATTTTTTCTTTCTATATTCTTTTTTTTTTTTTTCCGCAGTATTTTGCCGGGGCTGGGTTTGAACCCACCACCTCCAGCATATGGGGCTGGGTCGGCGCCCTACTCCTTGAGCCACAGGCAGCACCCTTTCTTCCTATATTCTATGCAGTTTTGTAAGGCAACTTAAATCCTTTGTGTGGTGGGGAATGGGTTGGATATAAATGAACAACAGAAAGGAAACTATAATTATGAATTCATTTAATAATTATATTCACTTAATGATAAAAATACATGAAATCGTGACAGCCCAGGATAATTTCGACTTATGAGATCTCAAACCAACAACTAGCTATAAGATGGAGGAGAAGACAAACAATCTAGATGAGAAATAGGTTTTAAATTGATAAAGTCTGGGCAGTGCCTGTGGCTCAAAGGAGTAGGGCACTGGTCCCATATGCCAGAAGTGGTGGGTTCAAACTCAGCCCTGGCCAAAAACTGAAAAAAACAAACAAAAAAAAATTGGATAAAGTCTATCTTTTGAATGCTTTTATTTGAGTTATCTAGTTCAGATAAAGAAGGGAAAGGGAGGCTGGGGCACATGGATTGCTTGAGCTCAGGAGTTCCAGACCAACCTTAGCAAGAGTGAGACCCCATCTCTATTAAAAAGAAAAAACTAGCTGGGCACTGTGGCAGGCACTTGTAGTCCTGGCTACTCAGGAGGCTAAGGCAAGAGGATTGCTTGAGCCCAGGCGTTTGAGGTTGTTGTGAGCTGAGAAAAATAGAAGGGAGAAGAGAAGGGGCCCTGGTAGGCTAAAAGATATAGGGTTCAGATAGGGAGAAGGAGGTTGGTCTGTTTGGAAAGCAAGTCAGGACAAAGTCCATGTGAAAAAGGTGTCACCTTTTTTTCTCCATGGTATTTGCAGAAGAAACAAAAGATGAAAGGAAGAAGATCAAGGTTAGGGGTGATTAGGAATAAAGAGCAATTGGGCAATCCAAGAAATTGTTCCTGTTGATGACCAGTGTACACGAAGTTTGAACTGGTCAAAGCAGAACTCATCTGGCCTCATGAGTTGTAACTTGTGACTCATTATCTGTGTCTCTGATCCATGAGAAATATAGTTTAAGAAATTATTCGTAAACACTTTTGTAGAGTGTTGTATGAACTGAGAAAAGGTTAGCTCTCCCCTTGAAGAGGATAGAAGAGGCCCTCAGGCTTGAAAATATACACACAGGTAAGGAATTGCCACCTACTTTGTGACATCTAATCATTCTTTTTAAAAATATATGTATATGTTTTGTAGAGACAAAGGCTTGCTACTTTGCTCAGGGGGGTCTCAAACTCCAGGCTCCAATTGATCCTCCCAACTCAGCCTCCTGTAGTTCTGGGATTATAAGTGTGAGTCACCATGCCCAGCCAAAATTTCTATCTATTTTAAGTTTAAGAGAAAATAAGAAATGAATTTAGAAATATTTCCTCTGTGCTTGGACAGAGCCGTCTTGTGACAAGAGAATAGCAAAAGTCACCTGTTTGGTTTGAGATAATATTTTTGGAAAGAACATTGTATAGTGATATACAATGTAAGCTATTGTTTCGGTTGTTGTCTTTTGATTAAGATAATACAGCTGAAAGGAACCCTCGATATCATCTAGGCTGACTCCCTCATCTTACTGATGCCATCTTCATGTGGACACTGAAGCTTATTTGGAGCTTATTTGGGTCAAGTGTATTTATTTCCCAAGAGCACAGGTCAAGTAAACAGTGTAGATTCTAGAGTCAGAGTAAGCCCTGTTTGAAGCCAGTGCTGCCACTTCCTAATTTATGGTTTTAGGGTTGAGCAGCACCTCAGAGAAGTTAACAGTGGGTTGTACAGAGTGGGTAGAGTTTGTCAGAGGGGCAGCAATCCAGACAGAGGGAAGAGGATGTCCCGAGAGGGCAGTGTGAGAGGAAGAGGGCGCTATGTGGGGGGATGCTGGTGGATATACAGCTGGAGCCCATAGAAGAAGAAACTCCACAGCCAGCATTTTTCTGTGCTATTTCAGTGTTAACTTTGCATCAGTAATCTACCCAAAGAAGCCTGAGTTGCTACCAACCCTTGCTATTCACAAGCAAGATCATGGCACAATGTGGCCTTGAACTTCTCCCCTTAAGCCATCCTCTTGCCTCCCACTAAGGCTATTTGCACTGCTAAGGCTATTTTTCTTTTCTCCTTAGTTTTCCAAAACCACTTTTTATTAGAAGTATTACATATATACAAAAACATATGTAAAAGTGCCACCTGATGAATATTCAGAGTATGCACATGTAACTAGTTTCCAGAATAATAGAAAATTACTGGCCCCCAAAGGCCCCTCATGGTCCTTTCCAGTCACCAGCCCTGCACCTCCTCCCCACTGCAAAGCAATGACCATCCTGACTTTTTTTTTTTTAAAGACTAGTCAAGTGCTGAAGTGAGAAGGGGGCAAAGAGTAGAATAAGGAGTTCAATTTGTAACTGACTATGAACAATCAAGAGAGATAACTCACTACGTTCAGATCAACCCTCACTTTTCTTTCTTTATTTTTATTTTTATTTTTATTTATTTATTTATTTTTAAGACAGAGCCTCAAGCTGTCCCCCTGAGTAGAGTGCTGTGGCATCACAGCTCACAGCAACCTCCAACTCCTGGGCTCAAGCGAGTCTCCTGCCTCTGCCTCCCAAGTAGCTGGGACCATAGGCGCCTGCCACAAAGCCCGGCTATTTTTTGGTTGCAGCCATGATTGTTGTTTGGCAGGTTTGGGCTGAATTCGAACCTACCACCTTAGGTGTATGTGGCTGGCACCTTAGCCACTTGAGCCCCAGGCACCGAGCCTCTCACTTTTTTTTCAACAAGCATTCCTCTGACATAAGGGCATAGGATCATCCTTACTTTTATTGTAATTTATTTATTTATTTATTTATTAGAGACAGAGTCTCACTCAGTCACCCTTGGTAGAATGTTGTGATGTCATAGCTCACAGCAACCTCAAACTCTTGGGCTGAAAGCAATTCTCTTGTCTCAGCCTCCCAAGTAGCTGGGACTACAGGTACCCACCACAACACCTGGCTATTTTTTGGAGACAGGTTCTCACTTTGCTCAGGCTGATCTTGAACTCCTGAGTTCTTGCAATCTCCCCACTTGGCTTCCCAAAGTGCTAGGATTATAGGCATAAGCCACTGGTCCCAGCCTATATCCTTAACTTTTTTTTTTTTGGTCGGGGCTGGGTTTGAACTCACCACCTCCAGCATATGGGGCCCACGCCCTACCCTTTTGAGCTACAGGCGCTGCCCATACATCCTTAACTTTTAACAGCAGAGCTTAGCTTGTTTTTGTATAGTATGTACTTGCCTGTAGCTTCTTTCATTTACATTGCACATAAGCAGTTAGTTATAAATCTGTTCATTTATTCTCATCATTGTGTAATATCCTAAACTTTTTATTTGAATCAGTTTCCTAAACCCACAGACAAGTTGAAAGACTAGTACAACGAACACCTACATAACCTTTAGATCATGAGTTACTAGATCATGAGTTACTGTTATTATCATCACTTTACAGATGAGGAAACTAAGGCAAAGAGAAATTAAGTAATTAGCCCGGGTCATGTCCCGGGACCTAGTTTTTCTTAGCTTGCTGTTTAATCAGTCATGAGGTTACAGGCCAATCCTATAACTTCTCTGGGCCTGTTTCTTCATTATTAAGATAGGAGTAATAATCCCACCTCATTAAGTTTCCCAACTGTTAATGGTGCTCAGATATGAGCTGCATGTGGAAGTGTTTTGTGTTTTGTGAAGTGTAAAGTGGTGGCACTCCAAAGGAGTACTGTTAAAAATGCAGGCTCCTGGGTCCTACCCCCTGTAGACTTTTTTTTTTTAGTCACAAAATTATTTAATTGAAGCTATAAAAAAGAGGCAGTATAATTGATAAAATAATTAGGAAAGGATATTTAGCATATTTCAAAAGATTTAAAACAAGAGGAGCAGGACACTTTACAAATGGTTGTGCAGGAAATAAAATTCTCAAACTATAATTAGAAATGTAACATTACAGAGTGTCTTATAAAATACAAAGAAATATAAAAGGGTTATATGTGCTAGAAGTCTGAAAACTATGAATAATGACCAAATATTTAGGTTTAAATTTACAGTTTCTTAACTCAGTAGGTCTGGGGTAGGAGGCAGAATGTTTAACAAGCCCCCAAGGTAATTCTGATGTACCAGTCCCCAGACTACACCATGAAAAAACACTGCTATGGGCTCCAAGCCTGTAACTCAGTGGCTAAGGCACCAGCCATATACACCAGCACTGGAGGGTTCAAATCCAGCCTGGGCCTGCCAAACAACAATGACAACTACAACCAAAAAGTAGCCAGGCCTTGTAGTGGGTGCCTGTAGTTCCAGCTACTTGGGAGGCTGAGGCAAGAGAATCTCTCTCTCTTTTTTTTTTTTCTGAGACAGAACCTCAAGCTATCCCCCTGGGTAGAGTGCCATGGCATCACGCTCACAGCAACCTCCAACTCCTGGGCTCAAGCAAGTC